TGTTCTGTTCTTACATTGGTCTGCCCTTACATTGGTCTGCAGTCGCGCTGTTCTGCAACTGCGCTGTTCTCTTCAGCACCGGCTGGTTCCCTCGACACCGCCTCGTCCCAGTTAGCCTATGCGTCAAACCACACCGTCTGCATCGCACAACTGGCCGCCTTTTGAGAGGGAATATCCTCCAAGATCCGCCGGCTGCATCGTGCCACGCTCACCTTACTTGCGTGATATGCGATCGGGCCGGACGAAATGAGACGCTTCAAAGATACCTGCCTTCTCTTCGCTAGTGAGTTCAATAGGGAACAAAACATAGTTATTCGGTCCCGCGGGGGAGGGGGATGGGGGTTCGTGGGCTCGCCAGCCGGCTGCACTGTCTGCTTGACATTCGTGAATTTTTGTCTAGCCGTGTCCGGCAGCAGCTAGCGAGTTGATGTCACCGCGGTGGTAACGGTCAGCTACAGGCTTGTTCCGAGCAGGCTTGATCTGAGCAGCCTCGTCCGCTTTGTTCAGAAGAGCATGTGCACTTGTAAACAGCTTCACTGCGCGTAATTATCCACAGCCGCCGCCGCCGCCGCTGTTGCCACCACCACCGCCGCTGCTGTTGCTACTGCTGCTGTTGCTACTGCTGCTGCTGTTCCCTCGTCTTGATCTCGATGTTGCATTTGCAAGTCTACTGACACGCCGAGCTCTGTTCTCACAATCAAACACGATGTGTCCCCTCGCACACGCATCGCTTGTATTTGACGCTTTCAAGCCTTCGATTATGAGCACAGAGCGCTGGTGAGGCTCACTCCGATAGCAGGGCAAAGCGAAGCGAGTGTTACACCCAAAAATGCTAAACTAAAGACGAAAGACGAAAGGCGAAAGGCAAAGACGAAAGGCGAAAAACGAAAGACCAGAGCTAACCAACCGCTGCCCGGCGAGTGTGAAGGCTCACACAGTGCTCGATGCGCATGCCACGGATCCAATTTGGATTGAGTTTGTTCTCACCCACTTTATTTCTAATGCCGTTCTGCTCATCAAACTTGCTAGCCAGCCGGCTGCAGTTTATCGCGGATTGCTACACACAAATACACACACACACACATACGCACAAATACACACAAATGCTGTTTGCTGCAGATTTTTGTGCTCGCAATCCTCCCTCTCGCAGATAAAAACATGTCACACCTGCGTGGTCTTCCAGCCCCACCTCCTTGACAATGAGCGAGGCACGCAGCTGCGGAATCCCCCTCCTCTCCCCTCTCGCAAAATGCAAACAGATACGCAACAGCGCAGAGTCGGCTCGGCTCTGCGCGGCGACAGACGATGAGCGAGGCAAAAGAAGCGAGCATACCAGGGGTCGAACCTGGAATCTCCTGATCCGTAGTCAGGCGCCTTATCCATTTGGCCATACGCCCGTTGCTGTTCAATATATTCTCAGCACACGCTCGCTCACGCTGTCCATTATCATCGCTGTCTTGTCCTCATATCTCATCTCATTCTGGTCCTGCTATCCACTGCCTTTCCCTGCCTCTTGCCTGAACTCTGCTGTGCATTGCCGTTCCTGGATAAGATCGTCACCACGAGTGCCGTCCGTTATTCTAAGTTGCTTCTTTCTCTCTTTGCCCCCTCACCTGTTTTGCTAGTATAGTTAAGCGCAACTGTTCACAACCGCGCTGCTGCTGCTGCTGCTGTTGTTGTTGTTGTTGTTGTTCTCTTACACCGGCCTTGAGGTACACCGACATCGCTCACAGCCAGCATTGCACCTCTGCTGTTCACTGCTGCCTTTGATTACACCTCTGTCATTCACTGCCGTTTACCCCTCTAACTCTGCTGTTCATTGCCGCTTCTGGTTCCTGCTTTCGTTCTTGCTCTGCTGTTTCGTCCCCCCGTTCTCTCTCTCTTGCCGCCACTGCAGCTTCACATTCACTTCGCAGCCAGCGTCCATTCCACAGCTGTGTTCACTTCGCAGTCTGTGTTCACTCCGCAGCTAGCGTCCATCCCACACCCAGATTCCATTGCACAGCCAGCGCTCACTCCACTCTGCCGCATCGCCGGAACTCCCGCACCGCAGCATCCAGCCACGGCGTCGACTCACTGCGCACACTCCGTCTGTCCGGCCAGCCTCTCCCGTGCCTTCGTCTCAATCGAAC